CTAGTCAAAACATCAGTCTATACCTCAGGGGGCATTGTAAAATATTCTTTTTCCAAATTTTCTTTCATAGGCATGATCGGCACATGTGGGTTACCATGTTCAAGAAAGTTTGTGTGATTTGGAGGTGGTGGGAAAAATCACATTTGTTCAAAAACTGGCTTAAGTTAGACCAAATGGCCCCTCCGAAATGCGGTCATTTTTTCGACCACCTCCAAATCACCTCAATTTTTGCACACATGATCTCTTGCACAAACAAAGCTAGGTTTCCAAGGTTTATAGTTTTAAATTTTTTATTAGTTTATAATGCCCTCTAGACTGACTGGTCAAAATATCGGTCTATACCTTAGGGGGGCATTGTAAAATATTCTTTTTCCAAATTTTCTTCCATAGACATGTTTGGCACATGTGGGCCACCATGTGCAAGAAAATTTGGTTCACACTTTTTGAATTTTTTCTGAATTTTTTATGCCCTACCCAATGTCGGTTCGAAACATGCGGCTTCACGGAGCCACTATAAATTGTACAAAGGGAGATCTTTCATATTACAAATAATGAACTTGCATTTCATGAAAAAACTCCTTCATATTACAAATAATCATTACATCTTTATTCATATGTTATTTTTTGCACACACACACCATCTTTAACTACTTTTTTATTATTATTTGATGAAATGATGGAATATGTGCTCGGTTTTTGGAATATTTGATCATATGGTGGAGTATTTGCTATTTTTGCTTACTCAAATGAAGGAAAGATGTCATATGTGTGGATGAACAATTTCCACTTACTTCACTAAACAACATTAATTAACTTAACGGAAAGTTTTACATTTGGTCCGATTTGCTTATGGGCAGAGCATGTTGCACATGGCCACAGCATGGGATTTTATTGCACCATTGCCACAACATGCTCCACATGGCCACAGCATGGGAAGTGTTTGCAGCATGCCTGATCAGTGAAGCAACACTGATGCGGCATGTCTGATCATTGCAGCAGGTAAATTCAAGCAAATCATACATCTAAGGAACCATACATCTAAGGAACCATAATGGCAAATTTAAGGGACACAAATATAGATAGCAATATATATTACTACCATAGATAGCAGCATCCACACAGCGCACTTGCTGATGGAGACACCTCCAAGTTCACACCACTAGCATATTAGATAAGTTTAGACCACACATCACAATACTACACTTAGATAAAGTTCATACTACATTACCACTAAAAGTTTCCACCATCAGACAACCACATAAAGTTCACCAAAATAACTGAGGCTTCCTCCATCATATGACAACCAGGGTCTAGGGCAACTACATGTTAGGGTTTCTCAGGACCTTGTGGAGGGCAGAATGTTGAGCCCTTATCTTGTACTCATCACTGCTGATGGATGTAGCCCGACAATGTTTCATCAGATGCTCCAGCAACCCAGACCTGGGCTTCTGCCTGCTGCAGTAGGGGCACCGGTACTTGTCCGTCCTCCAGTTGTAGTACATAGCAGGTCCTTGGGCCCTGATCTTCTGCACCACCTTCTCTTCAAAGGACACGACGTTCCCCTCGAGCACATCATCTCCAGATTGATACTACACACATTAATGACTGACATTAATACATTATGCATTCAAATACTATAAACATCTAACACTAACTCAATGCACAAATAACATTTCAACTAGGCCTTACCTCGTACGGCTCATCCTCATCACTGTCATAAGGGTAGTACCCAGATGAGTCAAACTTCCTCTTGTTGCCAACAAGATCATCCTTCTGCTATATTGTCAACCAAGCAAGTCATTTATAAGGAATTGAATTGCACTTCAAATAATATCATTACAAACAAGTTGATTTTGCATAATGATGGAAAGCTCCTAACTATATTGAAAAGGTGCATAGTTACACATGCTATGTACATTTCAACAACTCATTCATAGACTATATATGAAGCTATATAGATGCTAAACAATAGGGTTATGAACATACAAGTTCATTCATATGGACATACAAATTCAGATTTTTCTTTTGAACATGCATATGAAGGTATAAATGAATATCATTCCTCTTTTATTAACCAATGAGATAGCATTTTTGACAAACAATGCAAATAGGACCTTTATATATAACTTCACAACCATGTCAGGTTTTCATTTCATTTGTAAATATTAATAAATAATTAGTTCAGAGCAGTTCTTAATGAGCACTCATATGTCAGAATAAGTGAAATGGTGAAGCCTAACTCATACATCTAATTAAAATACCCTAACTCCAGCATCTAATTAAAAAACACTAACTCCTAGATCCACTGGAACATTGATCACAAAATTTACTTACATATATCATTGGATATAAATGAATCCACTACAAATAACACTAACTCATACATCTAATTAAAATATCATAACTCTTACTTCTACTGCATCATTCAGTCACACCATTTAATTACATTTATCTCTGCCTATAAATGAATCCAATACAAAAGAAACCTAACTAAACATCTAATTAAGAAACACTAACTAGTACATCTACTACATCATTCAATCATAGAATCTATATAACTGTCTATAAATGAATAATACAAATAAACCTTAACTAATCAACTAATTAAAAAACCATAACTACTACATCTACTGGATGATTCAATCATAGATCATACATATAACTGGCTATAAATGAATCCAATACAAGAAAATCCTAACTAAACATCTAATTAAAAAACCCTAACTACTACACCTACTGGATGATTCATATGACATTCGTGCATGGAGTTATGCAACAACAATTTAATATGAGTTGGTCATCTGGCATAGTTGCATGTCTAGCAAACCTACTTATGTTTCACTTAATAAGTACAGGAATCCTACAGATCAAAAATATACATACCTACAATTTGAGTTTATGGATAATGAAGTGAAGCTCCTAACTATTTTGAAATTGTGCACTAGCTAAACGTACTGTGTTCATTTCAACAATTAATTGATAGACTTCAAATGAACAAAGTAGGATTTTAACCTCATTTGTACAATATCAACTTTAATAGATACACTGGGTGGCGGCTCAGCCCCTGCCGTGGCCCACTGAGGGAATATGCAAAACAAATCTAACAACATATACAACATAGAACAAAATCTGAGCACATGAGGCAATCTAGATTCTAATATAAAAAACCTAACTCTCATTATGATCTCTCTAGCATTCAACCACAAATCAACTACAAAAAACCCTAACTCTCAAATAGGGTTCCCCATTCAATAAAAAAAACCTAACAAGTAGAAGGGGGTGCCGCATTCAATCACAAATCTACAATAAAAAACCCTATCCACTAAATCTTTTGCTTAACAACTACAACTAAGAGAGGAGGGGAACAAGAAGGATTACCACATCCACCACCTGCTTGTCGCTCGCCTCCGCACCTGCATCCTGTGAGCCGCCAGACGCCGTCACCACCAGGTCCGGCACGATGGAGTCCGAGCCCACCACCCCCTGCTCCACCAGATCCGCCGCCGCAGCGACCGATCCAGCGACTGCGGGTGCAGCATCTCCCGCACCGCTGACAGCGGCCACTTCTTGGACGGCATCTGTCCCGGTGTTCGCGGCCTCGACCGCAACTCCGTGCGCAGTGGCGGCAGCGCCACCACCTTGCGCCATCGAAGCCTAAGAGAACCCACCGGAGAGAGGGAGGCGGTGGGGTTGAGCGAGTAGGTGCGGTGGCGGGGCGATGGAGACGAGGGGAGACGAGCGGCAAGGAGAGAGGGAGTGAGCCGATTTGGGGGGAAATGGTGGGGGCGATACGACCGGTGGTGGTTCCCCTCCGTCTTTATAGGATGTGACGTTTTGTAAGTTTTCGTGCGCCGCGTGGCTAGCCCACGACCACCGCCGCCCACGCCCACGACCGCCGCACGTGACAAGGGAAAACGATACGGCCACGTATAATACATGTATACCCTCAGTGTACAAAAGTAATCGGGCCGGTGCGGGCTTGTACAGGGCTATACGCGCGCTCTCCGCGGGCATAAAAAGACGATCGTGCCCCTCTTCACGAATCGTTTTTGACAGATCTCAGCCGTCCTTGTGTTTCTCCCCCTCGCGTTCAGCCCAGGGGGAGCACCGGAGCAGAAACGAGCACGAAAGATCATCAATAATCAAGAGATAGTACTTATTCCTTGAAACACTAGATAATTAATGATGCAGTCCAAAGATCACAATGCAGGAAATCAAAGGGAGCAGTAGTTTGACTAGTGGAAGAAGAAAATGGTAGACGAATGTGTTTGCCGGTTTGACAAGCATGACACAACATACTAGCTGAACATAGGTTTATTACAATGATCTAGAAGTTTATTGCTGCAAAAAGTAGCATCTCCGGGATGGCCCAAACGCCGATGCCAGAGATCAGTGAGGCGCGAGACGGTGACGGCGAGAGCGGTGGGGCCGGCCGGGGGGAAGATGTCATTTTCTGCCTTTGGTAGTAGGTTGTTGGCATGTGTGTCATTTATTATACTGAAGTTTATGCATGTTGCTTTGCTGTGGGAATGTTACTACTTCCATTTTGATTTGTCAGTATGTCTCAACTCTAACTGATGACTTTATTTATAAAATTGGGCGCATGTCTTTTTAGAAAAATGTTTTAAAGTTTGGCCAAGTTTATAGTAAAAAAAATGTGAACATTCACCATACCAAAGCAGTGTCATTAGATCCAGTGTAAAAAGCACTAACATATTTTATAATAGATTTGACAAGTTGCTTAGTTTACAAGTTTGATTTAAGACGAAACTAACATTAGAAGTAAATAAATGAAGGGAGTATAAAACACACATGAGACCGAAAGGAACATTTCGGTTCAGCGGCCAAAGACCTCGAACCATGTATAAACAGACAGACGAACTCTTTAGACACGTTTTCATCGTACATCCAACGTATGTCCTTCTCGTGACTCCTCTCAACGCTCGAGTGACACCTTCTCTAGGATGCCAGTGAGATTTGCCAAGGTGATGCTGGCCGTGAGATGTCTGAACCCGTCGGTTTTCAGGACGTCTGCCAGCACATTCGGGGACGACGACATAAATTTCAAGCACGAGCTTCAGCTTGTCCACCCCGTACCGATCCGCGGCAACCAGCAGGTGCTGCGTCATCGCGACGCCGCAGTCCTCGCCGTCGCCCGGCAGCGAGTCCGTGTAGATGAAGCGCAGGAGCATCTCGAGTCCGTGTCCCTCAGCAGCGGGCACTGGTGCTGCTCCGCCAGCACCAACGTGGTCGCCACGGTCCGCACGTCCAAGCTTCTGCGCAGCTTCACGTCGCACGCCTGCTTCAGCTTGTCCACCCCGTACCGATCCGCGGCAACCAGCAGGTGCTGCGTCATCGCGACGCCGCAGTCCTCGCCGTCGCCCGGCAGCGAGTCCGTGTAGATGAAGCGCAGGAGCATCTCGAAGACCGCCGGCTCCATGTCGGGTACCTCAATGTGCTCCGTGCCCTTGCCCTTCATCGGGCCAAAGAGCTCGGCGTCGAAAACCGGCGAGCGCGCGGCGAGCATGCACCGGTGCATAGAAGAAGGAGACCTACAGGAAATAGATAAGCGCTTAGCTGGGCCCGATCCACCGTTTTCATGTTGCTGGAGTTTAGCGGCACTTCTGCAAATCGCCGAAAAGCTTTCGAGGCACTTTTCAAAAACGCCGTCGAATTAAGTCTTCCGAGGCATTATTGTTTAACGCCTTGATTAACATTCCCCTTCACGACCATTTCTAGCAATTTTCAAAGACGCCCCAAAACATATTTGAAGGCATTTTAGAGACTTTGGGAGGCATTTTAAAACGCCTTCTAATGTGACTCGTGTTGTAGTGGCGTCCCTCAGCAGCGGGCACTGGTGCTGCTCCGCCAGCGCCAACGTGGTCGCCACGGTCCGCACGTCCAAGCTTCTGCGCAGCTTCACGTCGCACGCCTGCTTCAGCTTGTCCACCCCGTACCGATCCGCGGCAACCAGCAGGTGCTGCGTCATCGCGACGCCGCAGTCCTCGCCGTCGCCCGGCAGCGAGTCCGTGTAGATGAAGTGCAGGAGCATCTCGAAGACCGCCGGCTCCATGTCGGGTACCTCAATGGGCTCCGTGCCCTTGCCCTTCATCGGGCCAAAGAGCTCGGCGTCGAAAACCGGCGAGCGCGCGGTGAGCATGCACCGGTGCATAGAAGAAGGAGACCTACAGGAAATAGATAAGCGCTTAGCTGGGCCCGATCCACCGTTTTCCTGTTGCTGGAGTTTAGCGGCACTTCTGCAAATCGCCGAAAAGCTTTCGAGGCACTTTTCAAAAACGCCGTCGACTTAAGTCTTCCGAAGCATTATTGTTTAACGCCTTGATTAACATTCCCCTTCACAACCATTTCTAGCAATTTTCAAAGACGCCCCAGAACATATTTGAAGGCATTTTAGAGACTTTGGGAGGCATTTTAAAACGCCTTCTAATGTGAGTCGTGTTGTAGTGGCGTCCCTCAGCAGCGGGCACTGGTGCTGCTCCGCCAGCGCCAACGTGGTCGCCACGGTCCGCACGTCCAAGCTTCTGCGCAGCTTCACGTCGCACGCCTGCTTCAGCTTGTCCACCCCGTACCGATCCGCGGCAACCAGCAGGTGCTGCGTCATCGCGACGCCGCAGTCCTCACCGTCGCCCGGCAGCGAGTCCGTGTAGATGAAGCGCAGGAGCATCTCGAAGACCGCCGGCTCCATGTCGGGTACCTCAATGTGCTCCGTGCCCTTGCCCTTCATCGGGCCAAAGAGCTCGGCGTCGAAAACCGGCGAGCGCGCGGCGAGCATGCACCGGTGCATAGAAGAAGGAGACCTACAGGAAATAGATAAGCGCTTAGCTGGGCCCGATCCACCGTTTTCCTGTTGCTGGAGTTTAGCGGCACTTCTGCAAATCGCCGAAAAGCTTTCGAGGCACTTTTCAAAAACGCCGTCGAATTAAGTCTTCCGAAGCATTATTGTTTAACGCCTTGATTAACATTCCCCTTCACAACCATTTCTAGCAATTTTCAAAGACGCCCCAGAACATATTTGAAGGCATTTTAGAGACTTTGGGAGGCATTTTAAAACGCCTTCTAATGTGAGTCGTGTTGTAGTGGCGTCCCTCAGCAGCGGGCACTGGTGCTGCTCCGCCAGCGCCAACGTGGTCGCCACGGTCCGCACGTCCAAGCTTCTGCGCAGCTTCACGTCGCACGCCTGCTTCAGCTTGTCCACCCCGTACCGATCCGCGGCAACCAGCAGGTGCTGCGTCATCGCGACGCCGCAGTCCTCGCCGTCGCCCAGCAGCGAGTCCGTGTAGATGAAGCGCAGGAGCATCTCGAAGACCGCCGGCTCCATGTCGGGTACCTCAATGTGCTCCGTGCCCTTGCCCTTCATCGGGCCAAAGAGCTCGGCGTCGAAAACCGGCGAGCGCGCGGCGAGCATGCACCGGTGCACGCGGAACGCTCGGCCGGCGACGTCGATTGTCACGTCTGCGCCCTTGCCGTCTCTGAGCATGCGCTCGAGGTGGCCGAGCATCTCCGGCAGCGGAGCGGCGGCTGCCGGGCCGGCCGTCGTGCGCTCCGTGCGAGGATTGACGAGGGTGACGACGCACCTGATTGTGAGGCAGTCGTCGACGAGGTACCGCCGTGATGTAAGCTTGGATCTGCGCACAAATCCTGGAAACGTCGGGCTAATGTCCGCAGCGCAGAAGTGGTCTGTGTCCCACGTCCTCCTGTTTGCCATCGTCCCGTGGCGGTCCACGAGTCCTATGGTGATCCTTGCCTTCACAATCACGACTGTGGTTGCTTGACGACGGAGACATACAGACGCCGCTGCGTAGCCCGGGCACCCCTTTTCACGTTGACTATACCTCGAGGTCGAGGTCGACCACCCACCAGGTTAGAAGCTGATAAACCAATCGTGGCCGCCGACGGTGAAGTGACCGGAGGTCATGGCCTCGTTCACGGGAAGGTCCCTAATCTGCGAGTAGTTTACCAGCACGAAGTCGTGCGACACGGACACGCTCTCTGTGACGCATCTCGACGACGTGTCCGCTTGTCTGGGAGCTTCCCTGTTGGTGAGACGACGCCACACATCCATCTTGCCGGCCGGCGTCTCACCTGACCAACGATTTTGATGTTTAATTTTGGGCAAAAACTATCCTTCTTTGAGACAGCAGACAGAGGGCAGGCCGGCCAGAGAATCATGTGATGTGATGATATTATATATACATAGATGCATACGTACACACCAGGAGCCCGAGGGAAACGCATACGAACCTGCTCTTCCACTATCCGGAGCCTTTGAACAATCTTCCTCGGAACAGACGAACTACTCCCAGAGAGAGTCATTACAAATCCTACTCTTTTTCAGAAACTCCACATACCACTCCTAGCCACTAGACCACTTGCTCTGTCTTCTTGTACTGCCCGAATATTCCAAACGATTTTTGGTTGAAGTTTTTGAATGACTTCCGGAAGTGTGCGCAGGTGTGTCCTTGGTTGGTCCGTCAGAGCCTCCTAACAATATTTAGTCAGGCCCTTCGAGCTTTTCGAAAGTTGCCACCTTGAGTTTTGTTCAGCGATTCCGAGCTGATCATTCAGAGCCTCTGAGTTGTGCGAGAAAGTGTGCCACGGTGAGATTTTTATCTAGTTTATATATACACCCCTGCATATCCCACCAGATTACTCGAAGAAACTCCATTAAAATCCTACTTTCAAGAGCGAAGTAGATTATCTCTTTAATCACAAGAGCGGAGAATTTGTTAAGAACCAAAAATCAAGTTTGGGATTTTCGCTCTGTTTTTCTTTTGAACGATAGAAATAAATGACCTACATTGAATTGATAAATGGTAAAGAGACTTTATGGTAAAAGGACTCAAAAAATAAGCAGCACAAATACGAGTACTAGGTGAAATTTAAGTAAATCAAAGAATCTTCTACCTATACAATTTTTCTATATAGTCTATGGCGTACACTAATTCATGAAATATCCCTAGCATTTTCTTACACAAAATTGACTTCATATAGACTCATGATCATCTTATCAACTTCACATGGGAGGCATCCTTGCGAATAAAATCTCCTGCATGAGATGAGGACAGCTTGCCTCGAGATGTTTGAATACATCTGAATCTGTTTTCTTCACAGCTTCAAGTGTCTTCCCTGATGCTAGAAACTCAATACATGCTTTTTTGAGAACCCCGCAGTTATGTTGCTCCGCTAAAGTTAGCGTTGTCGCGACTGTTTTCAAGTCGATGCTATCACATAATTTACCTTCACACATAACCCTCAACCTCTCCACTCCATATAGATCCGCCGCAACTAGTAGGTGTTGTAGATTTTCAGTTTTTCCTTCTTCATAACCATCCATCATGCAATCTGTGTATATAAAGTGAAGAAGGGCCTCAAAGACTTGTGGCTCAATGTCATCAATCTCGATGCACCGAGTTGAGTTTTCTTTCATCGGACCGAAGAGTTCTGCCTTGAAAACCGGGGACCGTGCAGCCAACAAACATCTGTGGGCATTGAACAATTGGCCACGAACACTGAATGTCACATCTGCACCATCTCCATCCACATGCATGTGCCGGAGATGCTCTTGCAGATTCGACGGTGGAGCCACGGCAAGGTTCGTCTTAAGCTCCGTGTGAGATTCTTTTATGATGGTGAGTACGCACCTTATGGTCAATGAGCCATAGTAGAGGTCTGGCATTGATTTCAGCTTTGAATTGTCGAAGAATCTGGTGTAGCCGAAACCGTCACTAGTATGAGCTCGAGGAAAGATGTGGTCGACTAGAGCCCTGGTTACTTGGCCGTGTTTCTCCAGAACGCTTAATGTGAACTTTGTCCTCACACCCTTTGAATCCGGTGAGCAGAGATGGTGCAAAAACACTGACCCTTTGCCAGCGTGGTCTTTCGTGACTCCGTCCGGATAGAGCCTGATATTCCAGTTGTAGCCACCGACGCAGAATGTGCTCGAGCTTACGAACTTGCCGACGCCCATGCCAACGAGCAGCGAGTAGTTGATAATCTCAAAATCGTGGGTCCCCGTGAAGCTCTCCGTGAGGCATCTCGACGCCGTCTCGGACGGAGACTGGCCAGGCTTAGCTGAGGAAGACGATCTGTTGCCCATGGAGACGGTAGAAGCTAGACTAGAGAGAGAGAGAGAGAGAGAGAGAGAGAGAGAGAGAGAGAGATCACCACCGATGATGTATTGGTCTTGTGTATATATAATAAGGAATCTAGCTTTATGTTACAGGTATAACCGTGTTACATATATGTGCACACAGGAAGGTGCTATTGTACTCGGATTGAGAACTCCTAATGTGTTTGTGTGTAGATAAGAAATACAATGAGGACGCCCAGACCTACCAGGATACAAAATCGGAATTGTATTGTGATTGCTCAATTTTTTTTTAATAAAATTGCTGAATATGTTTCTGTCAAAAAGCCCCAAAGAAAATACTCCAATATTGGACACATGACACGTGAGTCATTGCCAGGAGTGTAGGCACGATAAACGCAGACACATGAGGCTCCAATATTGAAGTGATTATAAATATACCAAGAATCAAGGGAGAACAATAACATGACTATACCAATGTAAATATATATTCTGAAGTTGAAATGTAGATGCCCCAATACAATGACTGAAATCTCAAATTTGGTATAATCAACGCTACACAGACTAAGTACTAAATACTGGTCACATGATCATTTAATTTCTAGACAAACGAGACTAGCCACTCAAGACACAGGACACCTTATGTAAAATATCCTTCATGAGCAAAGGGCAGCTTGCCATCAGATGCTTAAATCCATCCGTTGCCATGATATCTCCTAGCCTGTTTTGTGAGGTCATGAACCCAATGCATGCTTCTTTGAGATCTCTACAGTGGTGCTGCTCTGCCAGAACCAACGTGGTTGCCACCGTTTCCAGGTCGATGCTGTCACGCAGCCTTCCTTCGCAGATAACTCTTAGCCTCTCCAACCCGTATCGATCTGCCGCAACCAACAAGTGCTGCATGTTTGTAGTTTTACCTTCTTTGCTGTCCCAATCATCTAGTATAGAATCCGTGTATATAAAGTGAAGAAGCGCCTCGAAGATTGGTGGCGTCAATTGTGATGCTTTCTGTTGCCTTCTCAATCATTGGACCAAAGAGCTCCGCCTTGAAGACCGGAGATCGTGCAGCTAAGAGCATCTTCAGCCGCGCCCCCAAAAAAGCCCCTCAGGTGTTTTTTCATTCACCGGCGTTAAAAAATTGGCCCAGTCGCGTCCCCAAGAGCTCAGTTTTCGTCGGCTCGGGTCGAAATTGGCGTCGGCGGACCCAACCCGAACCCGGCGCGCTGGGGTCGCTCGGGGGCGCCGGGCGAATCGTTTTTGGTGCGAAGAGCCGCGGGCCCGCCGCGTCAGCGACTCTACTCTCTTCTCGCCCCTTCGTCGTCCTCATCACCTCGTTTCCCGCGGCGAATCAATGCCAAAGCTGCCGCGCCGGTCAGCCTCCATTGATGCCTCACGGGCGGCGCAGTGAAGGCTGGGCGACGCGTCCCTCGGCCGCCACGCAATCACGCCACGCGTAACGCGCCGGCCAAGCCTACCACGCGGCGTCTCCGCCTATAAAAGCCGACTGCAAGCGCGCCGGAGAGACTCACCCCGATCATCCACCGACGACGCGCTCATTTCTCCCCCTTTCCTCCTCTCACCGTCACCAGTTGAGAAAGCATGGTCGAGCGTTTCCCAGGCGATGGAGCGGCGGCGAACGGAATCGGGCGCCGTCATCTGCACGAGGACAAGGCTCGCCTCCTTTTCGAGGCCGAGTACCCGGTCTCGCCGGATATGTGGGTGCCCGGGGCGTGGACACTACTAGGAAAATGGCTATAGATGGGATTGACACTAATGGCGCACCAGAAAGATGGTGCGCCATTAGTATATACTAATGGCGCACCACAATCAGATGCGCCATTAGAGTTTAAACAACTAATGGCGCACCATGCTACGGGTGCGCCATTAGTATCAAATTTTTTTTTAACTAGTGCGCCTGTCCAAACATACTAATGGCGCATCCCGGCAAAGTGCGCCATTAGTAGTTGTAACTACTAATGGCGCACTAGGCAGCAGGTGCGCCATTAGTATAGAAACTTTTTTTTTGAACTAGTGCGCCTATCCAAACATACTAATGGCGCATCCTGCCGAAGTGCGCCATTAGTAGTTGTAACTACTAATGGCGCACCTTGCAGTGGGTGCGCCATTAGTATAGTTTTTTTTTTGAACTAGTGCGCCTATCCAAACATACTAATGGCGTATCCTGCCCAAGTGCGCCATTAGTAGTTGTAAGTACTAATGGCGCACCATGCAAGAGGTGCGCCATTAGTAAGTGGGCAGCAACAAGATATTTGGGACAGCCTCTCCTACCCACACACTCACTTTCTCCCCACTTCATTCTCTCCACCTCCTCCTTGTCACGGGTGCCTCCTCTTTTTCACCTCATTTCCACCATAGATTCATTCAAATTAAGTGGTTAAATTACCTTGTTTTAATAGGTAAGTAAGGGGGGAAGCTATATTTAGGTTGTTCTCCTTACAACAATGTGCACATGCACTTTTTACGGCCTAGCTAGATCTATGTATGTTCGTGGTGTTGCATATGTTTGTGGTGTTGCATATGTGTTTGTGTTTGGAGGTGTACCGGTATTTGATATGCGATAGTTGCCAATATTTTGCCGGAATGTTGATTCATTTCCATTTCGGCGAGAATTTTGGCATTAAGCATTCTTTTTGGTCATATTTTTAGGGAAGGTCATGCCAAATTTTTGTTTGATTCTAAAATATCGTTTTGCTCTACCCCGCAGGCGACCATGGTCCGCACGATGACCGAAGGCATCGTGAATAGGTTTTTGAGGTCCGCGAAGGCCGAGATGCTTCAAAAGAACGAGACGGAGATAAGATGCCCGTGTCGAAGATGCAAGCTGAAGAGCCTTATTGCGGACCCGGATTCCGGGCAGGTGCGGGACCACCTGCTGTTGCGTGGTTTCATGGATGGCTATCGGTGGCAAGGTGATGAAGATGACTACGAAGTCGTCCATGCGGGCCGGGCAAGAAATGAGGAAGGGCAGCAAGACAACCACCGCGGCTCGGGCGGGCGAGAAGACGAAGAATCCCCAGGAGATGATCACGACTGTGATGCTGTACACAGTCATCATGTAGAAGATGCAGGACATGATGATGAGGAAGATGCCGGAGCAGGCGACGGGCATGATCATGAAGATGATGATGCCGGCGGAGCAGACGACGATGGACCATCGATGGGCTGGGTGCAGGACCCTCATATTCAAGAGCTGCTTCTCAAGCAGACGGATAACACAAGAGCTGCCGCCCGAGAGAAAGCCAAGATGGATCAACTTGAGTTAGACGCGGTTACTCCATTGTATGAAGGATGCAGGCCCGAGGATACCCGCCTGAAAGTAACGCTCATGGCCCTGGAGATGAAGGTAAAACACAAAATGACCGACGCATGCTTCGACGAGAACATGTCATTCTGGCACGAACGTCTTCCCAAGGGGAACAAGTGCCCGACCAGTTTGGAGGAGGCGAAGAAAATCGTGTGTCCTCTGGATTTACCGCACGTGAAATACCATGTGTGCATGAACAATTGCATCATTTATCGGGACGAGCACGCGGAGTCTACAATATGTCCGGTGTGCGGTGTCACTCGATACAAGAAGAGGAAGAAAGCTCCTCGAAAAGTGGTGTGGTACTTTCCGATCACTCCTCGTCTGCAGCGGTATTTCGCGAATCCTAAGGTAGCAAAGCTCCTACGTTGGCACGCGGATAGGGAGGAGAAGAAGCGAGAAGATGACGCAAATGATCCGGAGATAGATAAAAAAGACAAGATGCTGAGTCACCCTAAGGATGCGAGCCAGTGGCAAGCATTGAACTTCGAATACCCAGAATTTGGGAACGATCCAAGGAACATCGTGCTGGGCGCGAGCACCGATGGAGTCAATCCGTTTGGCAGCCAGAGAAGCACACATAGCACCTGGCCTGTGTTTGTGTGGATGTACAACCTTCCCCCCTGGTTGTGCATGAAGAGGAAGTACATTCACATGAGTATGCTAATTGAAGGGCCGAAACAACCAGGGAACAACATCAATCTGTATCTGGGGCTGCTGAAAGAGGAGCTTGACACGCTGTGGAAAACGCCAGCCAATACGTGGGACGCCGCAGAGAAAGAGTATTTCCCTATGAGAGCCGCACTGCTCACGACGGTGCACGACTATCTCGGTTACGGATATCTTGCGGGGCAGGTAGTCCACGGATTTTCTGGATGCGTAAGGTGCATGGATGACACAACGTATCGCCAGCTAGATAGAGATCCCGGGTCTTCGAAAACCGTGTTCATGGGACATCGAAGGTGGCTTCGCGACGATGACCCGTGGAGGAAACGCAAGGATCTGTTCGATGGTGAAACAGAACCCCGAAAACGCCCGTGTACGAGGAGCGGCGAGGAAATAGACAAGTTGTTGAAAAATTGGAAAGACTGCCCACTGCCAGGAAAGAAGCAAAAGGCGCCAGAGCCGGGAAAGAAGCGAAAGGCGCCAGAGCCGCTGCTGAAGGTATGGAAAACGAGGTCTGTTTTCTGGGACTTGCCGTACTGGAAGATCCACCGTGTGCCTCACAGCCTTGATGTCATGCATATCACGAAGAACGTGTGCGAGAGTCTGCTTGGTACCCTGCTCAACATGCCAGAGAGGACCAAAGATGGGCCGAAAGCAAGGGCAGACTTGAAATCAATGGGCATCAGGCAGGAGCTTCACGCTATATATGATGATGATGATGATGATGATGATGATGAGGCGAAGCAGGACACAGAAAGTCGTCGCAAAGGCAAAAAGGCCAAGAAGACCGGAAATGACTACCCTCCCGCGTGCTTCACTCTAAGTCAGGAGGAGATCGAGCAGTTTTTCACCTGCCTCCTAGGAGTAAAACTTCCTTACGGTTACGCGG